AGCCTTGTTGTGTGTCAGGCGCAGGCAACCCAAAAATCTTTGGAAATCAATGCACCATATCAAAGCATCAGCAAGATGCATGTAAAGCAGCTCATCACATCCCACTTCATCTCTGGAGATGGATTGCTTGGGGTTGAACCAAAGCATGTTTTGTTAATAGCACTAATTGCTGTCTATCATCAAGAACATAGGGTCATTTACTGCTATTTTCTTAATTAAAAACCCACGCAGAAGCCTCTGATGAGATGAAGATCAGAACAGGCTCAATTTTCCATGCAAATGATTTGCTTCTGATCCTGACCCAGGATTTTCATAACAATTAGAGCCAGCGTGGGGCTCCCCTGGCTCTGAGCTGCCCTGCAGTACCCAGCTGTCCCTCCCCTGCTCTCCTTGTGGGGTTCCTTTAATGCCTGCTTGTGAGGGCATATGAGCACCTGAGGCATTTTCCCTCACTGACTTGAAAGCTGATGCTCTTCAACATTTAGCTCTGTCCCCGCTTTCCTGTTTTATCCACGTTTGATCCCACTTGCTGAGTGGGAACCAGATGACAGGATTCCACTCTTTTTCCCTACTGGCCATCAACCTAGATGTGTTTTTTTCAGTCTTTTTTTAACCCCATGAATGAAAAGAGATATGCAGACCAGCTTCCTCAGAAGCCCATAAAACTACTTTTATCTTAGGAAAAACAAAATCCAAATACAGCTTTCTATGCTTGGCTTCCTTCTAAGCGTATGCCTTTATTCTTGTTACCTTTTGCAGCCATTAACCCCTGCCTTTCCTCCCCCAAAATCTCTTAAATAGTCAGATACAAACATATCTACTGGAAGAGGAGACAGGCCAAGCTCTCTCCCTCACATTTTTGCTTCAGAATGATTCCCTAAAGCAGATATAAGCAGGATAAGATAGAGTTAATGATAACAGGTGAGTGCAGCCCACTAAGAAATGAATTAAACTCTGCGTGGAGTTTAGCGATGGTCACCATCAGGAAGCAATTCAATTTGTCCACGTTTTTCTTAGATGTAAATAGAGAAACTTACAATTTTGTCATTACAGAGGTGTCATTTCCTGCAACGAGCAAAGGAAAGCAAACTATAATTTGATGAGAGAAATAGCTTTTCCTTCTAATGTCTTCTAGAGACATCTTTCTGTATTTCTATTGGTGTCTTCAGTTCTCAAGTAATCAGAATGCTTTAAGATGTGAATTATGGCTAGGAGGAAAAAGAGAAAGCTATGTAAAACCAATGTGTGTGCTCGAGGCAGTCCAGTTCTCCAGCATAAGTGATTTCTTACCCTGTCACATCTCATCTACAGCGCCTGGGAGAAACTCCTTTTGTCCTGTTACTTTCATACCATGGTCTCCAAGCTGTGCCCTGCATTCTACATCCAGAGCAGGAGGGCTCGATGAAGCAAGATCCCCTTGTATGTCCTGGCTGGAAGTTTGATGACAGCCATTCTTCTGCTTCTGGCTCATTCCATGGATGGCGTTCTCAGAGGTCCAGGCAGGTCTAGAACTCTCTTGAGTGCGACTGTCAGGGTTCAGATCATCCCAGGCTGTTACAGGGCTCTGCTCAGTCAGTGCTGCTCCCACAGTGCCTGCACTAAGCTATTGACAGAGAGGAACACATATTAGAGCTCGCATTTATGTGCAGCAGAGCCCTTTACTTACAGGACAAAGACACAAGTTCAACATCTCAGCCATCCGTGGATTCCGTGTTCACCTCCTTACTTGCTGGGCAGGTCCATGGCCACTTCCCATCTTCCTTTTCGTGGAGACAGCTGGATTCCAGTGACACACCAGGCTGTCATTTTGGACACTGTAGTTCTTGTTACCAAGAAGCCAGTAGGTTTTCATTTTCCCTTTGCCCTGGGACAAGAATAAGGAGAGAGCAGAAAATGGCAGTTTTCATGGGAAGCTGAGAATCACTATGGCTAGGGCTACTACTTGTGCTGCATTCTGCTAATTATCTCAGCTGCAGAGATAAGAAATGTTGCTACCTGGGAAAAGAGTTGTGATTTGGGTGCTCATGCTCATTCTCCCAGTGCAGAAAAATGCTGCTTGCTGGCAGTACTTCTGAGGGTTTAATATCAGTCTTACATCTGTGAGTTTTTGTGACTGAATCCTAACATTTTCACCCATATTTGTGTCGTTTCATGCAATGCAGGCACAACAGCTGTATTTCAAAGCATGCAGTAGTGCTTTTATTTTGATGAGGAGGAGTCATGTATAGCCACTTCTAATTAAATTAGCAAGAGAACTCTGGGGCTGTGGAGCTTGTAATATGCAGAAGAGCAATGGCCAAATCCACCCTAACTCATTAAACTCCCTTACTGTAACACAGCTACAGAAAGCAGGTTACCTTGACTTCAATTTCTCCTCTCAGTTCAATTTCATAGGCATCATCTGTGAGAAGAGCATTGTATGTAGCAGAGCTGATGTGGATCTTCTGTGCTAGGATTCAGAACAGAACGTTAGAAAGGAGTGATTGCTCCATTCCTGGAGACCGTGCTGCTGGCTGGTTGAGAGACTGTGCCAATCTACCTTGCCCACCACCTCACCTTGAGTACTGGGTGAAATTCTGGGCACCACAGTACACAAAGGACAGCCTAAAGCTCCCTTGTGGCATCCTGCAGGTCTCTCATGGCATCCTACAGTTCCTTCATGGCCTGCAGCACTCTCATGGCATCCTACATCTCCCTCCCCTTGTGCCAGAGCCACTTACGCAAGCTGGTGGACTCCATGCGTGAGGCAGTGTTTACAGTGTCCCCAAAAAGGCAGTAGCGAGGCATTTTGTAGCCCACAACTCCAGCTACGCAGGCTCCCGTGTGTATCCCAGCCCTCAGCTGCAGCTTGCTTGCTGGCATGTGAGGGATCACGACCTGACGAACGGCTGCCAGGAGATCCAGAGACATTTTGGCAATCTCATCTGCATGTTTTGTGCCGTTCCTCTCTGGCAGGCCGCTCACTACCATGTAGGCATCACCGATGGTTTCCACCTGATGGAAAGGGATGTCTGTCACTGAGCACTGAGTTTTCTTTCAAAAGGAAATTGCAGCTTACAAGCAGGAGGGGAACTGACTTTTTACATGGTCTGATAGTGACAGGGCAAGGGGAAATGGCTTTAAACTACAAGAGGGGAGATAAAGGTTAGATGTTAGGAAGGCATTCTTTATTCTGAGGGTGGTGAAGCCCTGGCAATGCCCAGAGAGCTGTGGGTGCCCCATTCCTGGAGATGCCAAGGCTGTGGATGGGCCCTGTGCAGTTTGAGCTGGTGGGGGTACCCAGCCCACAGCAGGGGAGTTGGAACTGGATGACCTTTAAGATCCCTTCCCATGTAATCTATTCTACGATAACACAGTCCCTGTGTGATGGGGGATTGCACTTCATGGCTTCTGACCAGCTGGATGGGTGTCTTTAATATTCACCAGCACACGGTACATAGGATTCCAGCTACATCCAGATTCCTTGCCTGCGGGTTTGTCCTCACCTTGTAAACGTCATAAGACTCAATCCTGCTGTCAAAGCAGATGTAGAGATTGTTGAGCATCTCGACAACCTGCAGAGGGGTACAGGAGGCAGCAATGCTCGTGAAGCCCACGATGTCTGAGAAAAAGATGGTCACCTGTCACAGGGAGAAGGCAGGTGTGAAGCTGAGGCCTGCAGGCAGCAGTGGCTGCTGCTCTGACTCTGAAATGCTCTCTATTATTTTGCTGCAATTTATTTCCTATATGTGGTTCTGTGAGTTCCTTGCATTAGATGGGAGACTGAAAGTCTGAAGGTCAAGCGCTTTGTAAGCAGGGATCAACAAACTTCTTCTAGATGGGAGTCCTTTTATTTGTGCTTATTATTACCCACTCATCCAGAAGAGCCACCTTTTCACTCTCTGCACTGGCTTTCCTACTTTTGATGTTGTGACTATTGTGGGTTATCACAAACGGTGCAATCACAGGTAGTTTTGTCAGTGATAACTCCAAATTAAACGCAAACTTTCATTACTGTATTTCACAGCTGAAAGTAACGGAGTGTCCAGGTGAAAAAGGCTGAAGGGAATGAACAACTACTTTATAATTGGGGTTTTGGCTGTGGGCTGTGCAGCTCAGCTGCTAAGTTGAGCACTGGCAGCAGCACGCTGTGAGGCAGAGCTTCAAACACACGGATGCTTTGGCCAAACTCTGCCCTTGTTTTTATGCCTGTCTGAGGCTGTGACATCTCTGGTCCTTCTCATCCCTCTCTAAATCCCATGCTGTCCTTCCAATTATGCCTATGAAACCATACTGACACGTACAGGCAGGATTTGTCCCCTGTTGCTTTTTGGTGGTTGTGATTGGGGTTTCTTTTGTGATTTGCTCCATTTTACAAGGAGGAAACTCAGTTCTTCCCACTGCATACCTGTGAAGGAGTGATGTGGGCAGGCTCTCAGGAGTAGGCTCTTAAACCCAAGAAAGACAATGTGCCTTGCCTTTGATATCTTTACCATCTAAAGCTATACTTCAGCTCTTCTTCCAGCCCCATCAACCTGAATGCTTCATGGGACATCATTGTACAGCTTTTTCCAAACCCCATAATGAATATTAAGACTTATATTCACACTCATCTAGGAGTGCTAAAATAGATTCCTCAAAGCAGAGGAAGGTGGGTGCTCTCTTTCTGAATGTTTTCCCACCCCTGGTGTCAGCAGCTTTTTCCATTTGCTAGCACAGACTAGATTTACCTGATCATAATTTTCTGCCTCAACTTTTTGGCATTTCCTTAGCTGCTTGGCCACAGATTTCGGTAACATCTGGTGCAGGAGGTCCTCAGCCAGCTGCCTCTCCCGTTTCAAGTCCTGTGTCTTTTCCTTGAGGCTCCTGGCATAGTTGTGAATCCAATCTGTCATTTGCTTGAAGAATATCAGGGTTATGGGGTAAATGAGGCAGGCTATCACTAGCAGGCTGATCTTCAGGCTCGTTGTGAACAGGATTTCTTTAGATTTCTTGATGAGCTTTTCCTGTCCCCTCTGCAGGAGGCAGCTCTGCATGTTTAGGAGTCCCTTTAGCAAGGCTTCAATGGAGGCAAACTCATCCGAGCCCAGGAACGGGATGAAAAAATGGATCCCTTCAGAGGAGGTGAAATGAAGCGATTGGTTGACGTTATCCCTCCAGCACTTCTGTGCACTCTCTGATGAGAAGACAGCATAGTTGAGAGTGGCTGCAAGCTGATGCAGTGTTGTTTGAAGGCTGATGGATACTGGCATTAACTGAGCTTTCAGCACAGCTTCTCCTATTAGAAGGATGAGTTTAAAAGCCACTATGTCTGCCCAGTCAGGATTACGTCGCATAGCTTTGAGGTCTTCATGGGGACTGCTAAAAAGCCCCAGCAGTTCAGAAATCACTCCAGATAGCGTCTCGCTGGCTTCACTATCCCCTGTGCTATTCATTCTCTGTCTCATGTCAACGATGTAAAGCCTACAGGTAGAGATTTTCTCCTTCTTGCATCGACAATCCTCACAAGACAGTTCTGCTTCTCTTGCTTTGCAGAGGGAGTTCAGATTCTCTAATAGCTGAGCATGAAATGATGTATTCCTCTTGTCTGCTGCTGGGAACAGCCAGCTGTGCCTTTCTTCCTGCAGCAGAGAGATGAGGCGAATGGCCCAAAGGGTTTCACAGGAGGCAAGTTCCTGAAGGGCCTTCCCTGTGCTTCTCCATGCTTCCAAGCTGCTGCTCAGATCAAAGGAAACAGCTCCAAGGAGGCTGCAGAGGGAGACCACGCATGCCAGCAGGATCCTTTGAGCTGTTTTTCTACCACCAGCACTGGAAAAGGAAGAATATCTAAAAGAAAGAAATCAAAGAAGGAAAAGAGGGAAGGGATGTGGCAGGGGAGTCTGATCATGGTGGTATTTCTTACAGCTCCCGAAAATATGGCTGGAGCTAACAGTGATACATCCTGAAATGAAGCAAAGGGATCGAGCATTAGCTGTACATTATTGAAAGAAATATTTGGTCGTATTTTTTTCCTTCTGATGCTTTCTTTTAAAAGAAAATGGTGGAAAAGAGACAGTTCTTGTGATGCTGGGATGGGATCGTGCCATTCTCCTGTGAGTATGAAGAGAGATATGAGTGTTTGCAGTGGGTTTTATTCCCTGTGGAGCTCCTGTTTAAACCTCAAAGCAGCCCATGAAAAAACGGCTCTGTGATTTCAGTGGTTGTGATCTGCAACTGTTAAAAATTTTAATCAAAGTTGTGACCAAAACTTTTGGAATTTGTTCTTAATGGGGAATTTCCAGAAAATGGATGATTTGCGTTGATACGTTTAAATATGCTTAAATATTTCCACTTTGTTGTCCAAATATTTCAAGAGGGAAATTATTCAAATTTCAGTTCTGTTTCAGTTTTTACAGGAGTACACATCCCCATCTGTTACTTTTTTGTCTGCAATATTTGTTGTCTGTGCCTCACGGTTACCTCTTCTCTTCCGCAACACTCGTAATTGACACCCAGTCTGCACAGCAAAATAACCTCTTAACAATTTTCAATTAACTGTTTACAACCCTGCCTTAATGATGCTCACACAAGCAACTCAGGATGTTACAATGAAGCACCCAAACAACCTTCCTCTCCAACTGCTAAAGCACCAACAAGCAACCAGGCTGCTGATCGGAAGGAGAGAGATCTGCAGCAATGCTGCCAGCACCCACTGCTGCATCTGACCATTCCTGCTGCTGAACCCCGACACCCCCAGGTGTCACGGGGTGCTGTCTGTAAAAGCACTTTGCAGTGCTGCCACACTCACCTGTGCTGATCTGCTGGCACCCGTGCTGCCTTCTCACCGGGCATCTCCACTGCTGGTCCCACTGCTGGTCCCACTCGGATCCCATCTGCTGCCTGCCCACCTCCTGCTATGCCAGCGCTTTGCTTCCTCACCCCTCTACCCTCAGAGTTGTTCCTGTGGCTCTCCACTCTTCTGATCCTCACTCCTCTCACAGCGGGCTCGCACCCCCCAGGGAATATCAAGCTCCAGCCCAAGGTAGGGGAAAGGCTTTAAAAGGTCCTCAGTGTTATCGCGAAATGCGTGCTCGGCTCTTGACAACGCACAAGAAGAAATGACAGAGACACGTGTTTTTCTTTCATGTTGCAAAAAACAGTGTTTATTGCAGTGAAAAGCGTAATTTCCCAGCTATCTGTGATCAAAGGTGTCATGATTATGACTTTATTCAAACTGTTGTTCTTGGCATTGCTCTCATCTGTCATGCAGGTCTCCCTGGGTTAGTTGTTTTCTATAACCTATAAAAAGGTGAAACGAGGCACAGATCAGACCATGAGAGCCAGCTATTTGTGAGCAGTGTGTGTTGTGTTTGGGATGCGGGATTTACAAAACTGAAACAAGGTCTTTGCTCCTCGGCCACTCTTGAAATTAGGGTTTCTGTTATCTTATAAAACAGCTGATGCTCCAGATTTGAGCATCATGCATTGCCTTCTAGGATGTGACTGTAACAATCAGTGTTATTGATAGGTACCAATCACTTCTGAAGTGGCACCAATCAAACTCCTAATGAGTGTAAATCAATCTCTAGACTGAATGAAAAATGCATTCCTAAACATCAAGACTTACGTAAAAGTGGAAATAACTTAAATACCTAAGTGCAAAGAGGATGCTTTATTTTTGCTTTGGGGTTGATTTTCATGCTGGTAAGGACCTACCTACAGAGATAGCTGCTTCTGTGTAAAAGAACCATTTGAATCAAAAGTGATACAGCTCCCTGAGCAGATGGCAGAGCTGTCCATCAGATAACTGTCAAATAATTGTTCAGGTAGTTTTCCTTGAGAAGACACAGCTTTAAGATACATTTTTCCCTTCCTGGTCCTCCAGTAGTGACCTTAGAAATTGTCAGGTGTCATTATTCTCTAGTAGCAAGGCCTTGAGCTTTACCTCCTTGATCCAGCTGTCGAAAGCAGAGATCCGGGTGAAGACAGAAGGCTTCCGATAATAGTTGCAGCCAAGAGAAGAGCCAAAGCTGACAATACCATGCACTTCCCACACGCCATCTGCATTTTGGCAGTTCAGTGGGCCACCAGAATCCCCCTGAGAAGACGAGGAAATGCAGTTAATGGCAGTCATAGTGTGAGTAGTTCTTCCTTGTGTTTTAGGCTTTCCTTTCTATCAGGCCTGGTTGTGTCAAACCAAACCCTAAGGTTGGTGTTCTCTGGACTCACGTTACAACTGGAGGTGATTCCATCTCCACCAGCGCACACCATGCTGGTTTTCACTGAGCTTCCCCACCAGCTAGACTTGGAACAAGTTGCATAATCTACCACCAGCAACAGCCCTTGCTGCAGGTCATCTGGGAGAGCTCCATTTGCTGGGAAGTAACAGAAACAAAGGAGTCATGACACCAGCTGGCAATGAAGGAAGAACAAAAGTGCATTGATATGTTTCTCCCATGATCTGGGTACTATTCCTCCAGGTAAGAAACTTCATCTGGGCTGCATAATTCATTCCATAGCTGCATTCTTTCATTTAAAAAAAAAAAAAAAAAAAAAAAAGGCTGTGACTTACCAATAATTTCTATTTCACTCATTAATGTCTCTTTGTTAGAGAAACAAAGGGCTCTTCTTTGTTCAGAATTTGCTTACTGCTCTGGGAACTGCTGCTTGAGCTGACACTTCTGCTGAAGCCCCTGGGATTTCTCTTTACATCTATTCCCTTATGTGTCTTTCCAGTTACTCAGCAGTGTGTATCAGGATTAGAAAATTCTCCAATCTGCTGTTAATATTCGCGTTAGAACAGCTGCTGAAAACCTACTAAAGGGCCCTCTAGTGCATTACTAGACCCATTACAAGGAAAATAAGCTTGAAAGGCAGAGAAAATTCGTAAGGTGAGCGAAGTGGGCACCAATGAACTTGGGTTTGAGGGGATCTTGATCATCACCGACAACCTTCTTCCAGTCAATCCTGAGGAAGATGGCAGTGCTGAAGGCCTTTGTTTTGCAGTTTTGCCCATCTCCCACTACTCACTCTGCAGTCTTCCCCATCCCGTCACGTAGCAGGCAGTGTTGGATGACAGGATGCTTTCTGCAGGAGGGAGGCAGGCCAGCCGGATTTTGTCGCTCAATGTAACGTGTTTGGTGAGTTTGATCAAAGCAATGTCATTCCTGTGGTCATAGGAACACTTGTGAGAGGGGTGAGGGGACAAAGAGGATTGCAAATAGTTAAGGGACAGCAGAACGACAAAAAGAAATTATTTAGAAAAAGAGATGCAAGGGAGCAAAAGAGGCCACTGCACAAGCACTAAAGATTCCTCCACCCTTAAAACAGTGGGGAAATCCATGCACTGGAAGACTGTTCCCTGCAGAGCTGCCCCACTTTCCTGCTGGCAGCCCTCTGGAATGTTTCCTTTATGGGTTCTCTTCACCAAAAACAGATGCATGTGTGAGAACCAACTACTGGCACTTGGAAAGTGAAATGGTTTCTTTGCTAATGTGCTCAACCCACCAGCATGCACAGGAGTCCTTCAAAGTCCCTACGAGGGTATTAATACCATTTAATTGATCATACTCCATGTTTGTCTTTCATGCAAGATGTTCAAAATGGTTTTTAAATTGTTTGATCGATTTATTACCTCCTGCTTTATGAAGAAAATTATTGCCTAGAACAGCAGTTTCTCATCAAAACATGAACATGCAGAATGGCAGCTGAAAATGCAATTAATCAATTAGCAATTAATATGGGAAGCTCTTTATCTTCTCTTGAGGAGGAAAGGTACAGACTGGAGCAAACATTTTGAAGTTTTTGAAGTTGTGCTTTGCTTCCTGTAGGTGAATAAATACTTTCCACCAACTTACCCACTTGCAACGCTGTATGAATTCCATTTCTCATGGACAACAATTTTTTCTGGGAAGGCTGTGACAGATCCTTGCTCCTCAGCTGCTAGGTTGTATTTTCCAAGAAGCACTCGATAATTCCTGCTAGAACTGGACAAGAAAAGAACTAAAGTTCAGCTGTGTTAGTTACTGGATTATCAAATTGTCAATAATAACATGCAGCCAACTCTTCCTACTCCATGTGATGACCTCCTCTACCACCTTCTGATGCCATAACCAGTGTGTAGTGGATGCACATATTCAAGGACATATGATAACAGACCACAGTTGGGTTGTCTCCATGGAAACAATTTTGATGATGGGGCAGCACATTTGTACCTGATCATTTCTTTCTTATACTTTCCTGTAGTATGAAGAGTGGACAAAACACAGAGCTCTTGACTCCATGGGAAGGAGAGAACTGGCATTAATATGTTTGGGTTTTTTTCTTCATCTGTCTCCAGTCAAGCATTGCTTTATGAGCACAGACTTTAACTCAATGGTTTACCTGATGCAGTGTGCAGCTGTCAATACCCAGTTGGTTGCAATGAGGATTCCTCCACAGGTGTGATGCCAACCACTACTTGATTGGTATTGAAGAGAGGCCTAGGATCAACAGATATCAAGCAAGGCTCAGATTTTTGCTTGCTGATTTTTCCAATGTTGCATTTTCTTCCAGCACATGTATCACAACTTGCTACTTGAAGGTAATGGGAGGTCTTTAAGCTAGAAGAGTTTTGAAGAATCTTAGAACCATCAAGACCTCTAAGAGTATCTAGTGTAACTCTTCACCTACCGCCAGTACTGCCCACCAGTGCCACATCTCCACGTTCCTTGAACACCTCCAGGGACGGTGACCCCATCACTTCCCTGGGCAGCCTGTGCTACTGCATCACTGCTCTTTCAGAGAAGCTGTTTTCCCTAATACCCAACCTGAACTTCCACTGGTGCAACTTGAGGCTATTACCTCTCATCCGATTGCTGTCGCCTAGAAGAGGCCAATCCCCACCTCACCACAACCTCCTTTCAGGACTTCCTGTCCTCAGGAGAAGGATTTCCTCCTTTCCTACCATTCAAAAGTTTGATTTTTTAATGTTTGGGGTTTTTTTTTCCCCAAAGTTCAAGCCTGGTCCAAACAGAACATTTTGTTTTCTTCAAAAATCAATTTGTTAACTCAACATACAACTGTGTTCCAGTAGGCATTGTACCTCTCCACTGAATTTTACAGTATTCCTGCTAAATACGACCTGGTCTACTGCGAGAACATGAAGACCTCTCTAAGCAGCAAGCTGTGGCACGCAAGGTATTACAGCTCTAATCATCTCAGGGAAGAACAGAAGGATTGACCTGCCAGGGCCAGCTGTATGGTCTTGCATCTTCTCCTCCAACAACTCGAGACACGGCAGGTGGGTAGGCAGGAACCCCGCAGCCAAGGGCTGGAAAACATACAAAGATTGGTGTTTTAAAAGTAGGAACTGAAAAAGAATTCTGTAAGAGAGGTTGGGTTGGTTGGTTTTTGTTCTTATGGTTTGTTTGTTGATTTAATATGGACTGTGTTTGTATGGAACGTTGAAAGGCAGAGATACAGCCTACAATTGGATGTAATACAGGTGAAGATACAGCCATCAGTCAAGGCTGAGCAATGTTATATAAAGCCTATTTGTTTTCTGGCAGGTAATCAAATCATGCTGGCTCAACCAAATTCTCATGAATCAACTGAGATGCAGCTTGTAGCAGATGCAAAGCAATCTGGCATGGATTGACTGTGTTACAGAGCATTCAAGCTAAGTAAAATAACTTCTTGTTACAGGCTGAGAGCAGTGGTGCTCCTTGAACTTCTGTGATATGAACAGAATAACTTAGTACCTAGCTGCCATTCTGAACCTTTTATTTAACAAAAGCAATTAATTGTCTTATTCTGCTTTAAAAAAAAAAATAGGAAAGCTGCTATTAGATTTTAATTCATTTTTTCTTTAGAACTGGTATTGAAATTGAGAACATACCTGCAGCTGCCAGAGTCAGCACAGCAAAGAGGATTCCAAGCATGATGCCGGGTAACTGCATGCTGTGGGCTCTGCTTCACAGCTTGTTTTATATCTCACCTCCTGGAGACGTGAATATGTGAATGTCCTGACACCAATGGAAAACTGTGGGATAATTTTTTATATGCACAAATGCTTAAGGGAAGGGAAAAAAAAAAACCCATAGAGATTGACCTTGAATCTGGGCTAAATATAAAACTTCGGCTAAAAGCAATTTCAACTGAGTTGCATGTAATCTATAGCAGTTGTTTGTTTTCCCATTGCCTTGAAAATTCAT